TTTCTATATTAGAACGTTAAATATATATACGTCAAATTATCTCGCATCGATATGCAGCCCGCAGTATCTCAGTAGCCGGGGGTAATTAGGAAATAAATGTTTTCTTTAGACCTTCACCTTTTGCGTTATGGTAGCAGCAGGGTATACATTATTTATTACCGTTTAGGGTTGATTAGCCTGGCTGCTACAAACGCAAACGCTGCATAACTACAGTCACTAAAGTTGCCGACGATGTTGCCAGCTTTCAAAAATTTGCTGAATTTAAGGCAAATTGTAGTTAAAAAAATTAAAAAATATTATTTTTAATTAATTATATGCGGTTTGTTTTTGATAACCGATGGCGAAGAAAGCTTCTCGAGTGACAGCCTCGTACCGGCAGGTGAAGTGTAGTGCGTCCCCCCACTAGATGGAGTGTCGACCTGGTAAGACATGCAGGAAGTCAATGGATATAGGTGGCTCGGGACCGTGCTTTGAGGGGTTTCTTGGGGGAGGCCTATTTTCAGCAGTAGACTTGTGCTGGACTGTAATGATGATGATGATATGCGGCTTTACTCATAATGACAAAATATCGACGCTAATTAAAGAAATACTGAAAGTTACTCTATCTATCTCTCTCTTTCTCTCTCTTTTCAAAAAGAGACAGGTATGTAAATAATTCATACTTACAATAATTTACGTAATCTACAATCAATAAAAGTAATGCCGCTGATGTTTAAATTTTTTGTGGTAACGTCCTTATGGTATCTTTTTGCTCCTTTTGAATTAGACAGGGTGTATTTTTACATTAAAGCGAGAGCACCTTCTTTATGCTACCACGTCTCTCAGATAGGAATCTATTTAATTTTATAGTAATTTTTATTCCCACAATTTAATGTTTACTCTTTTATTAAATGTAAACCATAGCCCGACTCAGTCGTCAGCATTAAGCGTCTCCCACACAGAAGCAGTTTGCGGTAGCGGCCGCGGTGGCGGCCAGTTGTATTCGCTTCCAATGGAAGTGAGTCTCCAAACCCGTGCGGCCGTGTCACGGTCTGCGAGCTGCTGACCGCGGCCGCACGCCCTGCCTCCTGCGCCACCGCGTGAATGTTATCAAGTGTGCCTATTGGTGGCCGCAGCGCGGACACTTGCAAATTTTTACAATAGGGCACGTGTACCACGTGAAAAATGGTGATTTTAATAGAAACAGTGCAAAATTATCCAGTACTTTATGTTAATTCGCATCGTGATCACAAAAGCATTAGGATTAAAAACAAAATATATCTTAATATCGCTGAATATAATAACACTTCGTCACGGTTTATCATGTTTACTTACGTCCGATATAGACTGCCAATACAAAAGAGAAAGAGCATAATCTTTCTTACATTATATAGTATATGTTAGAGTGAGAAAGATAGTCGAGACCATTCACATACACGCTATCGGCCTGTATCTCTCTGGTGTCATTCGTGAACAAAACAAGTCCCGCTTGTATTTGCAAAATCTCGGGTTCGAAAGTGAAAATTAGTGTTTAATAGACGTAATTAAATATGACTATGTGTGTAGTCATATTTAATTACGTCTCTACATCGTCTACTCAGATTCACCAAACAATATTCGCTGAAGGTCATACAGGCTTACACACCAACCTCGGCACATCCTGATGAGGAGGTGGAGGAAATGTATGATGATATCTCTAGAGCCATGCATTCTTTCAAAACCCACTATACGGAGTTAATGGGAGACTTCAACGCAAAATTAGGCGCAAGAGAGTACGGTGAGCTGAAAGTAGGGAAATTCGGAATAGGGCAACGGAACACAAGGGGCCAGCAGCTCGCTGACTTTATGGAGAAAGAGGGACTCTTTATGATTAACTCTTTCTTTCAAAAGTGGCCCCACAGAAGGCGGACCTCATCGAGCCCCGACGGTTTGACAAAAAATGAGATTGACTTCATTATTACGACCAGACGACAAATGTTCAGTGATGTCTCAGTGATCGCGAGGGTTAAAACTGGCAGCGATCACCGAATGGTGAGAGGCACACTGAACCTAAACGTTAAGTTGGAGAGGTTACGTCTACTGAAGTCAACGCTCCGTACCCCTCGTGCTCTAATCCAAAACCCTGAATACCTTTCAGCTCAAGTTACAAAACCGTTTTCAAAGCATAGAAGATTGCAATAAAGTGCATATGAATGACAATCGTTTGGAAACTGTATATGCGGTTGGATCTAAATTCTGTAAGACCCGTTACAGAAGAACACAAAAACTCTCCGATTACACTCTTAATCTCATGGCTGTTAAAAGGGAAATAAAGCTGCAGTCTTCAGCAGATTTGATAGCATACAGGCAACTGAACAGACAGATCTCCAAATGCATGCGGCTGGACTTACGCAACTTTAATACAGCTCATATTGAAAAGGCAATCAAATGGAACCAGGGGTCTAAAGACTTTCCCAGAGATCTGTCTGGCAGAAAGAGCTAACTGTCGTAGCTGAAGACCAAAAGTGGTAGCATCGTTTCCTGGACACCTGAGATTTTGAGTGAGATTGAGAGGTTCTATGGGCAGCTGTACACGTCATTATTGGAGCTACACGTAATTGTGAGTAACGATCCAAGAGCAAGTCTTATCCAACACTATTCCGATCATGTTCCGGACGTCAGTCTAAGCAGATTAGAATGGCTCTACAGTACTTTAAAAACGGCAGGTCCCAGGGCGAGGATGGAATTACAGCGGAGCTTCTGAAAGCGGGTGGAACACTGGTACTTGAAGTCTTTCGGAAGCTCTTTAATTCCGTCCTTCCGTGCCCGTCCGGCACTACTCCGGAGGCGTTGAGGAAAAGTGCTGTGGTCTTGTTCTTCAAAAAAGGCGACAACGCTATCTTGAGGAACTACGGACCGATTTCCCTTCTGAGCCGCGTCTACGTGCTGTTTTTGAGAATCATTACGAATCGTCTCGCACGCAGACTCGATGACTTCCAGCATCCCAAACCAGCCGGTTTCCGAAAAGGCTTCAGCACCATAGACCACATATATACCATTCGGCAAATTGTACACAAGATCGAAGAGTACAATCTGCCACTTCATTTTGCGTATGTGGACTATGAGAAAGCCTTTGTTTCCGTCGAAATTAGGGCGGTGCTGCAGTCCCTTCAGCGGTGTCAAGTAGACTGTCGGTATATCGAAATACTGAAGTGTATGTATAGTAGGGCTACGATGGCTGTCCGAGTACAGAACGAGAGTACGAAACCTATCCAACTGCAGAGAGGTGTAAGACAGGGTGACGTTTTATATCCTCGAAACTCTTCACCGCTGCATTGGAAGACGTTTTCAAGCTACTGGACAGGAAAGGATACGATATTAACGTCAATGGCGAGTACATCACTCACCTTCGATTTGCCAACGATATAGTCCTTATGGCGGAAACGCTGGAGGACCTAAGCACTATGCTCAATGACCTCAATAGTGTTTCCCAACGGATAGGTCTTTAGATGAACATGGATAAATGAAGATCATGTGTAATGTCCATGTCACACCCATGCCGGTAGTTGTTGGGAGCACTAAGTTCGAAGTTGTTGACGAGTATACCTGGGACAAATAGTCCGCCTAGGTAAGTTCAACTTCGACTGAGAGCTCAATCGACGGATTCAACACGGCTGGGCAACTTTCGGGAAACTACGACACATCTTCACGTTAGACATACCTCAAAACCTCGAAACTAGATTGTACAACCATTGCGTGTTCCTAGTGATGACCTATGGATCTGAGACGAGGTCATTCAGTGCTGGCTGTATGTGGAAGCTCAAAGTCGCTCAGCGAGCTATGTAGAGAACTATGCTCGGGGTTTCTCTGCGTGATAAACATAGAAATGAGAATATCCGCAATAGAACCAGAGTAACCGATATAGTCCAAAGGATTTGTAAGCTGAAGTGGCAATGGGCCGGCATATAGCTCAAAGAACCGACAAGTGATGAGGAAGAAAGGTTCTCGAGTGGCAGCCTCGTACTGGCAGGTGAAGTGTAGGGCATTTCCCCACTAGATGGAGTGACGTGCTGGTAAGACATGCAGGAAGTCAATGGATACAGATGGCCCGGGACAGTGCTTTGTGGCATTCCTTGGAGGAGGCCTATGTTCAGCGATGGACTTGTGAAGGGCTGTAATGTTGATGATGATGATGATGTGTGTAGTAACTAAGTATAATTCATCTCAGAAATACGAATATACTACAATCGTAATCGGTAATTGAAGTTGAGAAGGTGCATGGTACAGCACTATTTGTCTCTCATACATGCATATTTCACGCACACTGGTGTATTTTGATTTTGGTTTCGCCCAGATTACTCCATCGACAATCTAGTATTATGCTATATTTATGATTTAAAATTGCTTAAATTATAGATATAGTATATACTAGACTATCATAGATATAGTATATAATAGACTATCATAGATATAGTATATATACTATATCTATGATAGTCTATTATAGTATATATAGTATGCAGTAGACTATCACAGATATAGGATATACTAGAGATAGTATAAGTCAAACTTTCATAAGCACCATGATCACTCGCTGTGTATCTAATAACGGAAAAAATATATTTATTTCTTTAGTTAAAAGTAAGGTTAATTTTCGGATAATCATTATTTAGATATTAGATGCTGAAGCTTAACTAAATGGCTAGACGTCCAATTAATTATTGTAAACCATCGGACTGCGACATTAATTTTTTTTTATAGGATAGGGTTACAAACGAGCACACAGTCCACCTGATGGTAAGTAGTTGCTGTGGCCCATAGACATCTATATTTATCCCGTTTGTGAATCAAAATGTAGTATGCGTCAAGCTGCTATTTTACGCTGCTACGTACGTGCTACTACTATACTATTAATATAGCTGCAGCATGGCTCTACCACATAAAACAAAAAATTTAACGTAAGAAATTGAACGTAGTTGATATCATTACAACCGTAGAAATTAACAATTACGATGTTTGATCGGGAAACGATATAACAAATACACTTAAAATACTGTATTACAAGAATAATAAAAAATACATATGTACGATAAATAGGTTTATGTATAAAAAGATTTAAGCGAAGTGTGCGTCACGCGGGCGGGGAGCGTGCGCTGGAGATGAGCTCGCCGCGCTTGTACAGCGTGGTCTCGCGCCGCTCCTCGGTGCGGCTCGCCACGCGGATCGCCTCGCGCGCCGCCTCGCGAGTCGCTTCGCGCGTAACTTCGCGACGCGCGGCGACTCGGCTGCGGCTCGCGCTCTCGTCGTGTTGCCGGACTACAACGGCGCGCGCGTCAGACGTATTGCGCTCTCTGTGAAATAAAACATTGGAATAAATTCTTCTTAATCGCCATTACGGTAATTCACGTCGGGAAATTCTACTAAGGTAAACATATACCTCAGTGGACGTAATTTTCTACCGAGTTCAAAAAGGGGGAGCTACTCATTTCGACTGTATTTTTTTTTATGTGTCACAACTTTGTTCTGCGTGAACCGATTTCGATGATTCTGAGTTATCTTTAATAATATTGTTACGAGCTTGAGGTACAAGACAATTAAAACTGCCGATTGAATTACCAAAATTGACACTTTAATTACACAACACTAATTACAATCTAAAATCACACTAATAATAAAACACAGTTCGCCGTTATTTCGCTTCGAAGTATTCTCTTGTATCGCCAATTCAATACTCCTCAGTCGTGGTCTATACCGGCCTTATATAGGGCCTCAGATAGTTTCCAGAATCTTCTACTGTAGCGACATCTAGAATGTTCGAGTACATATCGGTCCGAAATTTCTGGAAAGATCTTGACTCTCCTAGTTCTGCTACTCGACACTAGAGGGCGCTAGTGTAACTAGTGTTGCCATGTACAAGACATTAATAGTGGCGCGTAACACTGCCCCCTCCTAAGACATGCTCGTCCCGAGCATTGTTGGCCCCATAATAACGCGCCAGTCTGTTCACATGGACAATCTTAGGAGTACCTCTTCTAAAATCAGTCAGCACCCGCCAGTTTCCCTGCTGCTGCTGGGCGGTGCTGTTATCCACACTACCCTCTCGAGATCGATCACCTTTTTCTACAGTTCGTTTAGGGCAGCTGCATCGAAGATGGCCTTTTCCCACAACCGTAGCACCTAGGGCTGTATCCTTTATTGCTGTCGTGAACTGTAGCTGCTGAAACCTCCCTGACACGATGGGAACGATGATCCTGCCGCGCGGCTTCCACCTCCAGTGCATGGGCCAACGCATCCTTAAGCGTCTCATGGTGCCCGAGCCTCACAGCAGCTCTGACTTCAAGGTCGCGGATGCCGTCGATGAATGTCTGCACCAGGTTCCCTACAATGAGCGCAGGTACAGACTGGTATGCTTTCCGAACCAGCTTCTCCACCTCAAGGGCCCACTGCTGCAGGTTTTCGTTGCTGCGTTGCACGCGATCTTTGAGCTGCGCACGAAAGACGTGTTCCAGGTGAGCGTCGCCATATCTCGACTCCAATGCCTCAAGGAGCTGCTCGTAAGTCACTTCCTTACCAAGAGCTTCCAGAACAGTTAAGGCTTGGTCGCGTAGGCCTAGGGTGAGAGCAGTCATGGCCTGACTTTTATTCCAGCCGTTCGCCTTCATAACAGCCTTGAACTGGATTTTGTAGGCCGACCAGGAAGAAGTCCCGTCGAACGGCGGCACTTTGAATAATCCACCTAGCGAAGGTGTTGTAGCTACCACGGGAGCTGTAATTCCATCTCCATGTTTGAGGTCGTCCAGCGTTTTCTTCACGTCAGCCATCACGTTGTCAACCTGATTGTACACTTGTCGATTCGGGTTTCAGCCGCGGACAGGCGGTTGTCATATAGAGCAACCTTATCCTTCAACTCCTTTATCTCTTTCCCGAAGGTAGCGTAAAGGTCCTTCATGAGGAGCATCTGCTCTTCCTTATGGCGTTTGAGCTGCTCTTCCAACCGACGGGCCTGTTCCTCCTGTTGGCGGGCATGTGCCTCCTGTCCGCGCTGCAGCTGCTCTTCCAACCGACGGGCCTGTTCCTCCTGTCGGCGAGCCTGTTCCTGCAGCATCATCATCAGAGCACCTAAGTCAGGTGCTGTAGATGCAGGAGCTGATGACGGACCGGCTTCCGTGGTCAGCAGCTGGCCCTCCGATGTTTGCGGCGTTGTATTACCAAATTGTCTCTGGTCCGTTTCCAGCTGGCGTTGACTTCGGATACGGATACCCTCCATGTCGTCCTTTGGTAAAATCGGCATGATTTGATCCCACTTCTGACACCAATTGTTACGAGCTTGAGGTACGAGACAATTAAAACTGCCGATTGAATTACCAAAATTGACACTTTAATTACACAACACTAATTACAATCTAAAATCACACTAATAATAAAACACAGTTCGCCGTTATTTCGCTTCGAAGTATTCTCTTGTATCGCCAATTCAATACTCCTCAGTCGTGGTCTATACCGGCCTTATATAGGGCCTCAGATAGTTTCCAGAATCTTCTACTGTAGCGACATCTAGAATGTTCGAGTACATATCGGTCCGAAATTTCTGGAAGGATCTTGACTCTCCTAGTTCTGCTACTCGACACTAGAGGGCGCTAGTGTAACTAGTGTTGCCATGTACAAGACATTAATAGTGGCGCGTAACAATATATATTGAAGTCGGTTGAACCAAAATTTTAAATTATCGAGTTATAATTTACTATGACAAATATAAAAAGGTGTTCGCGCCAAACGCTGTTTTTCGGAATCGACGTCAGAGGGCGCGCGGCTCGGTGCCATACCGGTTTGACTTTCGGTCGTGCGTAGAACGCGCAAGCGCAGCAGTCGTCTGCCAGCTGTGCTAACGTCCGCACGCTGTCAATTTTTGTTCGGGAACTCGGAATAATTAGGCGCGGTTAGTAAATATACTGTCTAGGATTTGTGACGTGCATTCCTTGCTGGAGAGCTTCCCAGGGACTCATTGGGTCTGACTCAGAATCTGTATAAGTGCATTCGACAATATTAGCTAAAGCGGCCTTTGACATTCTAGAAATAACTGTTGCTACGCGAAGCGGTAGTGACCTTTGATCCGGACACTCCCTGTTTGTTTTTGTGTGTCAAGCTTTATAACAACCGAGAGTTAATGGCTTCTGTAAGTTAGTTAATAGTACGATAGAGTTAATGGACGGTCATCGTGACGAACGAAGAAAGTGACTGTGGACGGCGCCGCGGAAGATTACCTCAATTTGGAGCGGTGCTGACGCCCGGGCTGCTGCCGACGGCCAAGGTCTACTAAGGTCAATCACCATCAGTTACACCCAGATACACATCACAGCACCTTATTTCCCTTGCACTACACAACCACATGCGAGCTGACCGACTCCGGAGGGACCAGTCGCCTTGGATATAGGTAAGTAAGCTCCGTCTAATATTCTCCCTGTTGAATGGCCGTACCACAGAACGCTCCCCCTTACTGTTTAGTGTAACTAGAGATTTTCCACTTTGGCCTTAGGAGGCCCGACCTACGTCTGCTCGTCGAAACTCAGCTGAATGGGCCCCTGAGGATTTGATCTTTATGGGAGCTGCCGTAGGCCGTAACAAAAGGTGTAAGGCCTCAATAAATGCCGGCTCTGTAGCGCAATGGCTTAGCAATGAGTTGCAGCGCTTAGGGGAGCGAATTAGAATTCCGTACGGAACAAGTTTTATGGCCCACAAATAACTGTTTCGGATCTGGATGTTGTTGTTGTAAAATGTATGTATGTAAACTGCTCCCACGATACAGGAGAAAGTAAAGTTACTTAATGTGAAAAAGTGACTTAGTGTGAAAGTAAAGTGTTTAAAAAGAAAAATTATTTTGACCATCATCACGGGTTGTATATAAGCATGATGACAGTGAGTGTTCGCTTACCGTGCGAGCGCTCCGAGGCGGTCGATATCAGCGCGCGGTGGAGGCGAGGCGGGCGGCGAGGACGCGCCTGAGGCCGAGGCTGACGCCGAAGCAGAGGCCGAGGACGAGCCGACGGCCGAATCACGCTTGGCGGACGACGACGAGCCCGAAGCCGAGCGTCGCCGCGCCCGCGCCAGCGGGATGTGCAGCGACGCGGTAATCACGCACTCGTCTTCCGACGCGCCACCCGTCTGCAAAATTTTCACGTATCGATTCGATTACATACACATAAAAAACGCGTCAAATCTGTCTGTATTTCTTTTTGTAGAATAAAGGTGATAAACGAGCATACATGATGATAAATAGGCCCATAGATATCTACATCTATCCTCTATTAAGAACCAAAATACAGACGCCTTGCCTCTGCAGACTATGGTGGAGTGGCTCGTTTCCAGTAATAAGTGTCTCCAGTTCTCTACACTCACCATATGAAACACAGCAGCAGTGAGCTGCTATTTTACACTGGTATGTGAGAGCGTGATCCTACCCCAATCGAGCCGGCCCATTTGTGCTGCAACCATACATATAATATAGCTGCAGCATGGCTCTACCACATAAATTTGCAGATGTTATCGTTTTTGATTGTAGTCGCTTTTTGAGCAGAAAAGGCAAAATTGTTTCCATCCAACCATTTATATTACAGCCTATAAAAGTCTACTGCTAAACACAGGACTTTCCCATAGATTGCCTCATAGGGACGATTTTGCCATAGTTGTCACACTTGGCAGGGGAGTTGGCAACCGCAGTTTTTTATTATTTTGAGTTGTTATCAGCGAAATGCTGCTGCCCATTACCTGTTTTAATTTACTTCATTCGCCTCTTACGAATCCTACGGGAAGATATGGAGTAGTGGATATTCTTACACCGCTACTATCGGGATCAAAATTGTTTAATAAGGTTTATTATCCTATCATATGTGTAATAAATACTAATACTGAGTCAACTCGGCGACTAGATGGAGCAACGATGGGGCGTGGTATGAAGGCGAGCGGAGTTCCACCCCTGCCCGCGACGTCTGCGGTGGTACCGGTCGGCTTCGTTCGCGTACCGGTACGCCAAATTAGGAGTGTGACACTCCTAAACGGGCGTACCGGTACACTACGATGTGTCACGTACACGGAATCAGTTGCACGCTTTTGGTGTTCACCCAGCAACATGATATTACTCGATTTTTGAAATATTGGGAAAGATTGTATAACGCTTTAAGTAAAATTGAATTCTAATAACCTTGTGATTGTTTTCATCACGATTTTTAATTGAATTATATGTAAAGATGAGAATTCATTATATCATTAACTTCAACAAAAGACTATTAAAAAAACCCAATAATAAATATCGTAAATGTTTGTCGGTTGCACATCTGTAACGAGGCGGTTGCATAAACAGAACCAACGTATAATTTTAACCTGCTTTATTTATTTTGTTCAACCCCTTACTCAATATTTTAAGCGGAATACCTGAGGTACTGCTATAAAAGTAAAATATAGTAAACAAAGGCTTGTGCTGGTACCTACCAACACAAGCCTTTGTTTCCTATATTAACTCATGACTTTATTCTACGTGAACAGATTTCGATGATTTTTTTTTTTTTTTTAGATTAAAAAAAACGTTACCCCCACTCTAGGATTTTCTCCTGTATCGTGGAGGCAGTTTACAAACACAAATTTCACAAGGACAAACATCCAGACCCGGAACAATCATTTGTAGGCCATACAAATACTTGTTCCGTGCGGGATTCGAACCCGCGCCCCCCAGCGCAGCAACTCATTGCTAAGCCACTGCGCCACGGAGCCGTCTTTCTGGTTTCTATTCTCTTTTTGGTTTCTGGTGCTTCTCTTGCGATCCCATATAAATTTGATCAAGGTCTGAACAATAGTTTTTGAGTTATTCTTAATAATTTATATTGAAGGCGGTGTACAACATTTTTAATTATTTACATTATATTCAATTTTGACTGTTATTGAACTCCACCGAATCGGTATAAGCAAGTTTTCAAACAATTGTCGCAAAAGAGTTTCTCTTCAGGAGCGATGCCCCTATATATTCCCCGTAGCGTTCTAGGGCACCGCAGCGCATAATTGACACCTACGTGGCGCAGTGGATTAGCAATGAGTTTTTGCGCTGGGGGCCGCGGGTTCGAATCTTGCACGGAACAAGTATTTGTATGGCAGGATGTTTGTCTTCGTGCAATTTATGTTTGTAAACTGCCTCCACGACACAGGAGAAAATCTTAGTGTGGGGTTAACGTTTTTCTAATAAAACAAATATTTTATTCTATTCTATTTTTAACTCGGGTCGCGACCGGCGGAAATGGGAGGGGTATACATCGGTAAGTATTCTGTACATGGTGTGTATGTTACAATTAAAACTTATTTTTTTATAGAATAAGAGTAACAAACGAGCACATAGTCCACCTGATGATAAGTGGATGCTGTGGCTCACAGACATCTACATTTATCCTCGATTAAGAATTAAAATGCAGATTCGTTGTTACTTCTGAGGACTACGATGGAATGCCTCGTTTGAAGTAAAAAGGGTATCTGGTTCTCTACATTCACCATACAAGAAATAGCAGCATAAAACTGCTATTTTACGCTGGTATTCTGTAAAAGAGCGGTCCCACCCCGGTCGAGCCGACCCATTCGTGCTACAACCATAATATATGTAGCTGCAGCGTGGCTCTACCACGTAAAGAACCCGTCAATGGTACTTTTGACTCCAAAAATCAGACAAAATAGTTTTGAATAGAGACTTTACACCATTTTAAACTGATTTTTGCAGTCAAAAGTGGTCTTAACTGAGGACGTTGGTCAAAAGCACTTTTAACTAAATATTTTAAAGTAATTTTGACCAAGAATGTTAGTCAAATTGTTAGGTAATAAAACACTACACCATTATAGCAATATCAGTGACAGTAGGTTAAGATGCGGCCGGGGCGGCCTTTGAACCACCTTAACCCTCGGGTCGTCGCGTGGGGTCTTTCAAAGCCCAGGTATTACAAAAACAATAAAAACCTATATTTGAAATAATCGTAGTGACTCCGCTCCTTAGGTACCTTCCTGAATTGAATTATAAGTTGTACTATTGCTCTCGACAATGCACGATGGCGCAGTGGATGATTCTACTCAAGAAAAACTCCCGGTATTGATAGTTTTACAATAAAACAAAAGGTGTCGATGTAGCAGATAAACTGATCGGCACTTACTCTCGCTCGCATTTGATATAGATGGCCACTAAGGCTATTTTTCACATTTCTCGATGTGGCAGCTGTAAACGCCCATATAATATGGGATACTGTAAATCATGACAACAAAATGGGATGCAAGTTTTTTTTTTGAAAACATTGGCTTTTGAACTATGTCGTCCTCAATTACAGCCGAGGGCAACTATTACGAATTTGCCACGTGAGTTGAGACAGATGATAAGAAAATTTATAAAACCACTTCAGGATGTTCAACCTGAATAAACGTCGTGCCAATGAGAAACTGCCCTCGAAGAACAGATAGGAAAATTAAATCTATTTGTCACTTTTGTAAGGCCAACATTTGCCCAACACATACTAAAACAGTATGTACTGAATGTGTTCGTACTGAAAATTAATTAACTTTTTCAATATGTCAAAGTTTATATGTTTTTGTAATTAATTGTACCAAACTTTATATTAAAAGATAGACAATTTCAATTTGATCTTGATTAAAGTTTTTGTAATAGATTTTAATGTTTGTTGTAGTTTTTTTTTTAATTTTAATACCTAGTGATCTCATGTAGAGAATTTTTCGTTCCTATTACTAGTATGTAAGTTAAATCAATAAATATATAAATAATTAAATGTTTTTTTGATTATTTATATTTATGTATTTTTTAACTAATTTATTTTAGGGGCTTTCAAAGACCCCACGCGACGAACGACGTTACATAGAAAGCGCGACTAACCGGGGTTAAAGCCGCTTCCATTATATGATATAATCGTTAACGACTGTAACATAATATATAACTTGGTCGGAAGTCGGCACTTACCTCGTTGTAGTCGCTGGCGGAGTCGTTGGAGTCGGCGGCCGAGTCGGTGCGCGCCGCGCTGCCCGAGCACAGCACGCCGCTGCTCGCGCACTCCTCGCTACTTCGCACTCTGCCAACAGTAGCACAGCCATTGAAAAAAAAGCTAGTGATTCGCCCCCGATTTTGCACGGGTGATTTCCAGATTTCGACAACAGTGCCACCTTCATCAACATTAAAGCCCTTTCACAAGACCACTGCTGAACATAGGCATCCGGCAAGATATGCTACAACACAGTCCTGAGCCACCTGCATCCATCGACTTCCTGCATGTCTTACTAGGTCGTCACGCCATCTAGTGGCGGGCCGTTCTACAGTTTGTCTACCGGTACAAGGCTGCCACTCGGGAACCCTTCTTCCCCATCGGTTATCGATTCTTCAAGCTATACGGCTGGCCCATTGCCACTTCATCTTTTTAATCCGTAGCGCCGCCTACCGTGTCCAATTGTCCAAACACAAAAAAAAAATCATCAACTTCGGTTCAACTGTTCTCAAGTAATCTTACATACATGCGGCAAATGATTTTTTTTTTATTTAGACGGTCGACAGGCGATTGGAGTTTACTTATTAAGAAGTAGTAGGACCATTTTAATTTATCTATGTATTCACAATTTAATGTTATTTTTTATTTCATTCTTAACGAAATAACGAATTATGTTTCACATAGGGTGATGTTATTGGTTTACGATAAAAAAAGTAATCACTCAACTCCCTAAGAAACTAACACATAGTTTTAATCTTTGTAGTCTATTTTTTTATTATATTACTAGGTACTTATAACTTTTTTACGACTTGGAAAAAAATATGTATTATTTTATTTTGTTACGACTTTGTTTGTTTCAAACGGCACGACAGCCGTTAGAATTAGTAGTCCAGGAAATGAAGCATTTTGGCTCGCAATTTTTTCGTCCACCATGGATTTATTTGAAATTTTCACAGAAGGTAGGGAATAGCTCAAGGATCAAGTGGTTCCACCCCATCGCGGGAGTGGGATTTTTTTATTACATTTTAACTATAGGAATCGACGGAAAAAGTAATTTTAAGAAAAAAAAATTATATACGTTTTTTTCGTAAAAGTAATATTTTTTGAGGTATTCAAAGTTGAAAGTAACAGTTTTTTGACGAAAAAATCGACTTTTTTAAATGGGTTTTTGCGAATAACTCTAAAAATATGCATTTTATTAAAAAATTGTACAAAGCCAAATTGTAGCTTTTAAAAAAACAAAAACAATGCATTTTTTATAATTTTTCTACGATAAATATGAACTGAGATACACCAAACTAATAATGCTTAGATTTTTTCGTCAAATGCATAAATTGGAAGATTTAAAGCGAAATAACGAGAAAAATTTGCAGTATTCCAAGAAAGCTCATAAAATCTTTTTAAAGTATTTAATTTGAGCTTTCAAGCAAAAACAAAAAAATGTCTCTAGCATGAAAATTGAGCGACTTATGATCAAAATAAGATCGGTACCCGCTTTTTTCTATGAAAAAATCTGTGAAAACAACCCCCAAAGTACCCCCTAATTAAAATTGATCGCCACCCTTCTGTGATTCTTTTTATATATGTACTATTAATACACCCACTAAGTTTGACCAATTTAAAATGCAAAATTTTAGAAAAATTGGAGTTTAAAGAGAAAACGAATTTTTTCAATTTCGTGTTTTTAACCATTTTCTTAAAAATATCTCCCAAAATACTAAAGAATCGAAAAAAAAAACATATAGTATTAAATTGAATCTTTTTTAATGAAAAAAATTTTCTTGTGTGCAGATTTTTTGTACAGTGAATATTCCGCGAGATATAGCCGTTTAACACCTACATTTACGATCGAACATCACCTTATTCAAGCGCTTTAAACTCTCCCCATTTAAAAATTAAGGGATCTGAAGTAATTTAATTCACATAGTCTTATAGCTCCTGAAAAGCCCTACAAAATCGTTTGTGAAAAAAAAAATTCTATCACCTAAAATGAAGGAGTTATGCTTAAAAAACCGATCAATTTTTTTTCGAATAATTCGAATTACCCGCTTCAGAGCGTAGTAATCTACATAACCGGTATATTCGGCCGTTATACGTTATATGTTCCACTTTTTCGACTCTTATTGGAAGACAGAGAAGAAGGACTTCCACTTTTTTACGTGGTAGAGCCATGCTGCAGCTATATTAGTAGTATAATTGTAGCACGAATGGGAATGACCACGCTCTCACAGAAAACCAGCGTAAAATAGCAACTTAACGCTGCTGTGTTTCGTATGGTGAGTGTAGAGAACTGGAGACTCCTTTTACTGGCATTACATCTTAGTCCTCACGGGTGACAACGCATCTGCATCTTGAGTCTTTATTGAGGATAGATGTAGATGTCTATACCACTTACCATCAGGTGGACTGTGTGCTCGTTTGTCAGCCTATACTATAAAAAAAAAAGAAACATTTGATCACGTGTATGCGTGTGTGTGTATATTTCGTTGATTTCTCACCAGTGTATTCTAAAGAAGACTGTCGTGCTCTGACAATTTCAATGTTTTCGAGGGTAGTTTTTAACAAGGGTAGGTCGAAAGATTATGGAATTGTATCTTAAAGCATGAAACAATCATTATTTAACTATTACACCTAAAAAACAAAAAGCGTACAACGGCACAATATAGAAAATTAACTAGAGGGTGAAATAAGCCTAACCCCAAATTTTTGTACAAATCGGTGCTGGACGAAAACATTGCGAGGTTTTACCATTTTTTTAGCTTCATTTCCTGGACTAAAGGCTTTGTAAACATTTCTCATAAGTGAATTATAATTCTTTTGAGAAATAAATATCTTATTCTAATATAATATCAACTTAGTATTTTGGTTTTTGAATAAAATTATAGCTAATATTTTACCCCTTAAATTTTTCACTTAATTATTCTCTACCGACTTCAAAAAGAAGACGGTAGAGAATAATTAAGTGATAATAACTTCTTTCTGGCTGAACCGATTTCGATGATTCTTTTTTTATTTGAAAGCTGGTGCATTACATGTGGTCCCATATAAATTTATTCAAGCTCTGACCAATAGTTTTTGAGTTATTCTTAGTAATTTATATTGAATTCAGTTGCACAAAATTTTAATTTTTAATTATTCTAACTAATAACTTCTTAACCATTATCTTTACACCCATTCGCATAAGATGCGCGAATGTTTGCTGGATAGGCAACATAACGACTTCACTTTTTGCTGACACTCGATTCCGTTCCTCATTTAATTTATGTACTGCGAGCTTTATTTAAAAATCGATTCTTAAGGAGTCAGCTCCAATAAACTCCAACAATTTTTTTTAATAAAGTGTTTCATTATTCAGTCCATTTGATGGTAAGTAGTTACTGCAGCTTATGCAGTACCTACAACTAACTTTAAACAAAGAAGGCTCTCAGCACTAAGATGAAATGCGTTACAGCCTATAATTACATTATTTTGATTGAAACTGACCTGGTGATGATAGTCATAGCGGAGGACAGTGATCCTGAGGAAGTGTCAGACGTTGCGTCTCTTGATCTTCGGCTTCTCGAATACGACTTCTCGCTGAAACAAATTGATTGTGATTTGATTTCAACTGACTTTTTATTAGGGAAACGAATATGAAAAGCCCGAAGTGAAATAGATTTACTTGTGTGGATTGATTGTGAGATATTGCCTTTATGTGATGATTTGTTTTAACAATATTAGAGTGATAAACGTGGTAACGGTTCATCTGAAAGTAAATGACAACTGTAGCCCATGGACCGCTCCAATCACCTTACATATTATGCATGGTTGCCGTTGAGGACTAAGATGAAATGTGTTATGGACTATAATTGTAAGCGCTCTCTTACTCTTCAAATTAAAACGCCGTTTTACCCTGCTGTTTGGCGGTAAAATATGTAAGAGGGTGGATGCGGATTTTTGGTAGAAAAGGTGCCTTTTTATGGAATAAGGGTGACAAACCAGCACACAGTCCACCTGATGGTAAGTGGTTGCTGTGGCTCATAGACATCTACATCTATCTTCGTTTGCGAATTAAACTGCAGATGCGTTGTCACCCGTAAAGACTAAGATGGAATGCCTCTTTTCCAGTAAAAAGGGTCTCCGGTTTTCTACACTCACCATACGAAATACAGCGGCATTAAGGTGCTATTTTACGCTGGTATGGTGCTACAACCATTATATAGCTGCAGCATGGCTCTACCACATAATAGAATGCAATGTATTAAGGTCGTAGGGTAGGGTCCGTGCAGTAGTATACATAGAAGTGTTTGTTCGCGGCCTCTTTGTAGTAGTATACATAGAAGAGTTTGTGTGGTAGTATACATAGAAGAGTTTGGTTGCGGTCTCTGTGTAGTAGTATACATAGAAGAGTTTGGTTGCGGTCTCTATGTAGTAGTATACATAGAAGAGTTTGTGTGATAGTATACACAGAAGAGTTTGGTTGCGGTCTCTGTGTAGTAGTATACATAGAAGAATTTGGTTGCGGTCTCTATGTAGTAGTATACATAGAAGAGTTTGTGTGGTAGTATACATAGAAGAGTTTGTTTGCGGTCTCTGTGTAGTAGTATACATAGAAGAGTTTGTGTGGTAGTATACACAGTAGAGTTTGGTTGCGGTCTGTGTGTAGCAGTATACATAGAAGAGTTTGTGTGGTAGTATACACAGAAGAGTTTGGTTGCGGTCTCTGTGTAGTAGTATACATAGAAGAATTTGGTTGCGGTCTCTATGTAGTAGTATACATAGAAGAGTTTGTGTGGTAGTATACACAGAAGAGTTTGGTTGCGGTCTCTGTGTAGTAGTATACATAGAAGAATTTGGTTGCGGTCTCTATGTAGTAGTATACATAGAAGAGTTTGTGTGGTAGTATACATAGAAGAGTTTGGTTGCGGTCTCTGTGTAGTAGTGTACATAGAAGAGTTTGGTTGCGGTCTCTATGTAGTAGTATACATAGAAGAGTTTGTGTGATAGTATACATAGAAGAGTTTGTGTGGTAGTATACATAGAAGGGTTTGGTTGCGGTCTCTGTGTAGTAGTATACATAGAAGAGTTTGTTCGCGGTCTCTGTATAGTAGTATATATGGAAGAGTTTGTTTGCGGTCTCTGTTTAGTAGTATACATAGAAGAGTTTGGTCGCAGATTTTGTGTAGTAGTATACATAGAAGTATACATAGAAGTGCTTGTGTTAGCAATACTTTTTGTTTATAGTTTGTTATATTTTTATTAATTGAGGTGCTTATCAATATTAAAAAATTGTGTAGTGATTGTTCGCGCCAACGCTGTTTTTGCCACTTTAACGTCAGAGGGCGTGCGGCTCGGTGCCATACCGGTTGACTTTCGGTCGTGCGTAGAACGCGCAAGCGTACCAGTCGTCTGCCAGCTGTGCTAACGCCGGCACGCTGTCAATTTTTGTTCGGGAACTCGGAATAATTAGGCGCGGCTAGTGGATATAATGTCTAAGATTTTGTGGCGCGCATTCCTTGCTGGAGAGCTTCCCTGGGACTCATGGTGTCTGACTCAGAATCTTTATAAGTGCATTCGACAATATTAGCTAAAGCGGCCTTTGATATTCTAGAAATAACTGTTGCTACGCGAAGCGATAGTGACCTTTGATCCGGACACTCCCTGTTCGTTTGTGTGTTAAGCTTTATAACAAACGAGTGTTAGTGGCTTCTGTAAGTTAGTTAATACTACGATAGAGTTAATGGACTGTCATCGTGACGGACGAAGAAGGCGATTGTGGACGGCGCCGCGGAAGAGTTCCTCATTTTGGAGCAGCCTGGAACTCGGCCGCTGCTGGTGGCCTATGCTTATCAAGGCCCCACACATTCACACCTCACTGTACACTACTCGCCATCCACTATTACACACACTCACGGCCTGCTCAAGCATTGGTGCGAAGTTAGCTTCGGATAATGGTAAGTACTATGTGTTTCTAGCTTTCTCCCATATAGTTTATTGTGATAGGAAATTCCCTGTAGCCACGTGGCCCCGTCCCTCTGCTACCCGTCGATGGAATTACTCATGGGCCCTAGTCCCGTCAACCTTTGTTGGGCCAGCTAGGTGCGTGTGTGTGTGATGTTTGTGGCGCGTTGCAATAAATGTTTGTTTGTATGCTACGGGTACTTGTCTATCTATCTAAAAACACACACACACACACACACACGCACACACACACACACACACACACACACACACACACACACGCACTATTTTTATTTATATAGAAATAACTTTAAAAAACCATATAGAATCATTCCTTGTAGTATAATTGAAAATGTAAATATTATGTGCAATTCGTTAGGGTGAGGGCCTGGTGATCTATAACACAGTGATTATCCTAGTATGGACACCAGGCTCTCACAAAGGTTACAAATTGTCTGCAACCATATTATTTACCTTAGTAATAATGCGAAATTGTATACCTTTGTGAAGAGGAAATAAAAATGATTTATTTATTATTATTTACTTGTGGTCAGCGGCGGCGGCGGTGGCGGCGGCGCCGTGCAGGAACTGCTCGCGCGACCACACGCGCCGCGCCGCGCCCTCCGCGCCCGCGCCCGCCTCCCCGCCCGCACCCGCGCCCGCCGCACCCCCTCCCGCACCGCTCTCCGCCGCCGCGCTCCTGCAACCAAACGCTTACAGTTATAAAGCATGTAATATAAACCCTATGCCTGTTACGGACGGCGAAAAGAGCCGCTGCCCCGTCGCCCCCTCACATCCTGTTACGCCCCGCATACCGCACATCGCCAAACATCACGTGATGCCTGCGACGCCGCGTGCTAAAACAACACCAATTGAAACCCCAGGCGCGCAAATAAAAGAAGGACATCCGGATAGGCGCACCTCTCAGCGGCTACTCGCCGCCTGCGCCCCCTTTTCTCTAAAGAGGGTCGCTTCCAATTCAGCAGAAAGGTCATACAGGCCAATGCCAGTCTCACAGATGGTGTTTAGTGAGTAGGCACTTAGGTTTCACAGTAAGTCCCACATAACCACGCAGCCGGCTGTAGTGATATGCTTAGAGCATTCACCACCTACCTCCCTCACTTTCCGGAGGATAGCCCTTTTCATTGCTTATGGGTGCAAAAAAAATAACCGCTGGAAGTCATTCGATTCCCAAGCGGCAGTAAAAAAAAGAAGACTCTCAAGAAAACAAAAAATTTCCCTCTAGTGTTTCCCTAATTAGCTAAATTGTACTGCCGCCTAATTGTTGTAGATAATCAATAAATAGTTATTAAATTGTACCACCTTTCTTTATACTATCCCCTAAGCTCAGTTCAGTAAAGTCTTTTTCGAAGTAAAATCAATATTTCTCTTAAAGAAATAAGTAAATTAGATACATACAGTCTACTTACACTCTTGAACTCATCGACACACTATTTGGGCTCCGCCTCCGAAGGAACCCTAATAATGCCGTTAAGTCTGATATCAGAATCAGTATTTAAACTTATAAAAATAACTTTACTATAGAAAACTCGAACATATAAAAGTTATCCAACCAAACGCTTCCAGTTATCTTTACATTCTCATCAACATAAACTACCCCCTAATAATTATGAGCTTCTCTCTCTTATTAGAAGTCGAAAGTCGAGGAATCGTCGTCTAATTGTACATGTATTTAATAGCAGCGAATTTATTGTAGCTTATCTTCTTGCGCATTTAACGGAGGGGGGGGGGGATGAGTGCGTAGCACAAGGTGTATATAGGTCTCGTGTGCAGCTACGCATTCGGGTATGGCGCGAGGGACGAGGGGTGACGGGCGAAAAACGGGGGTGGGGGGAGGGTGCGTGTACTAACTCAGCGCGGGCGCGCAGCAGCGAGTCCAGCAGGGCGGGCGCGCTATGCGCGAGGTGTATGTAGGCCTCGTGCAGCAGCTCCGCGGGCAGCGCCCACAGCTCGCCCTGCCGCTCCACCAGCTGCCGCACCACGTTGATCACGTCCGCGCGCTCTGACAACTGCTCCGCACTGTAACCAACAATTAATAATAAATATAATTTATGACTTAAATTTTAAGGACATATGAAGTGGGTTAAGACGTTTTAGATGTGTCCAGCAGTGAGTGTATATAGGCTATTACTTTTACTTTAAAATTTTAAGTTAAAATACTGTTAGACACGAGGCTTAGAAGTGCGCATTAACAAGCTTACTCGTGCAACCGTAAGTTGAATAAAATTAAGACTGAAAAAGTATACTGTTGCGAAATACAAAATTAATCGGCTCCTTTCCTGATCTGAAGTTCAAATCCGGCTTGAAGGACCAAATAAATATACACACAGTAGATTCTCAAATATACGTGGTAGAGCCATGCTGCAGCTATATTAATAGTATAGTTGTAGTACAAATAAGTCGGCTCGGCTTTGGAAAGGACCACGCTCTCACAGAATACCAACGTAGAATAGCAGCTTAATACTGGTGTGTTTCGTATGATGAGAATAGAGAATCAGAGACCCCATTTACTGAAGAAGAGTATTTTTATCTTAGTATTCAGGGATCACAACGCATCTACATTTTTAATCGAAGATAGACGTATATGGACAACAGCATCCAATTACCATCTGGTGGACTGTGTGCTCGTTTGTCATTCTTATTCTATTTTAAAAAAATACTCCAAAACTCAAATAAAAATATATTCAAACGTTATAATATTCGTATAATAAATTAATTAAATTACAATATTAAATTAAATAAGATTTTTAATTTCTTTCACGCTTAGCTCACTCGTCCTCAGTAGATGGCACCAGTTGTTTTGTCGTTACAAACAAGGACGATATATAATTTGTAATATTATTTGTATATGGTTGCGGTGTAGTCACCTGGCGGCCTCGTTGGGCTTGTTGCGGTGCAGGATGTTAGGCGCGAAGACGGTGGCGAGGTTGGCGGCGTCCATCTTGTTGCCAGGGCGCGCGTCGTCGTTCGCGTGCGCGGCGAGCTGCGCCAGGAAGGCGAGCAGCGCGCTCAGCGTGTCGCGGTGCGCCGCCGGCAGCAGCTGCACCAGCAGCCGCAGCGCCTCCCACTGCAGCCGCCGGTTGCGCACCTCTGCACACGGGTTTTGAAGTCTTTCATTTTGCTTCCAAAGTGGGAGGTAATGAAGGAATACACAACATTTTCTGCCGCCAGGGCATCGTCACTTCTAAATGAGATGAAATTTTTGACAGATTTCATGGAGGGGAGTTCAATTTATAGGAAAATATAAAGTTTAATATTTATTTTTGAAACTGTGGCGGAGCGGTATTGGCATAGGCCGTGCCGTGCACCCACTGCAACCTCAAGCACAATAGCGAACGATCATTTAATATAATTAATATAAATTCTAACTTATTCTACCTATTTAGTGAATATATATATTATACAGTTTACCTTTTATCTACCGCCTCAAACGTAATGTTTTTTTGAACCATTATGTTATAAGCAATGTTAATGGCGTTACTAGTAATATTTAAAAAAAAACAATGCATGTATTTATTAACAGTAATAAAAATTTTTAAGAGAAAGTGGTAATCTAAAGACTAAGGTAACACCAAGGTTTGTAGACAGATTGGTATCCACATCACCTAATAGACATCTATGACGTTTGTACCCGATTAGTCTCAGAATTTAATAGGACAATTTTGAAACTGTAATTCCGTCATATTATGTATGATGCCATGAAATTTTTCTGGCACTTTGCCAAATAGACTCCTACAACACCTACGAGTATCGATTTCTCTTATGTACATCACTACAACACGACAAACGTATGAAATTACAAGTGAAATTAAAAAAAATATGCGTTAATATTTTTTTAATATACTACGTTTGTTATAATATATTTCTTTCTTCTTATATTTAATAAAGAAAAAATATAAGATATTTTTTTATATTCTTACATTGTCTTTGTGTTCTTACATTGTAAATTCGACTCAAAAAGACATACATGAAAGCGAGTTAAATAATATGTTGTTATAATATAGGAGATCATAAAAAATAATAATAAATAAACATTTATTTCTCCCACATTTTCAACAGTTTTATTTCTTTCATAAATAGTTTAAGAATTTTTAGTTGTTGTGGGGGACAGGAGTCCAAACTAAGTTACCCCGTGCTATGGGTCTCCTGGCTCCCCCTAGCTTTATTACGATTCCATGATAATATACCTAAACATGGAGTGAGATGAAACATGTAAAGATCGAATATAAGATTTCTAAAATGTAAATAACAATAAAAGCCACATTGAATGTATATAGCATGCAATATGTTTTAAATGAAAGTATATAATCAAAATAAAAATATAAAATCATATACGTATACATACTTAAAAATATATATACTTACTTTGTGTCTGTAAAAAGGCAGGATATAATTCTCTACAGAGTAATGGGTCAGGGAGATCTCTTAAAAATTCCTTAAGTAATGTGGCCACGTCGTGCGGACACACCGCGGAGTCTAAGGCTGCTTCTTGCGCTCTCTCCCATTCTTCTCGAAGCTGAAAGTAAAGAGACGGATGGTGAGACGTGAAATCCGATACTACCATTATGTAGGTAATCAAAGTATTATAGTAGCCTACATATGTTTGAACGTGGTAGAACCGTGCTGCAGCTATATTAGTAGTATAGTTGTAGCACGAATGGGTCGACCCGACCGGGGAAGGACCACGCTCTCACAGAATACCAGCGTAAAATAGCAGCTTAACACTGCTGTGTTTCGTATGGTGAGTGTAGGGAACCAGAGACCCCTTTTTACTGGAAAAGAGGCATTTCATCTTAGCCCTCACGGGTGATAACGCATCTGCATTTTGATTCCTTATTGAGGATAGATGTAGATGTCTATGGGTCATAGCAACCACTTGCCATCAGGTGGACTGTGTGCTCGTTTGTCACTCTATCTTATAAAAAAAATGTTCCACCGCTAGGCACATGATTTCTCTTACTTTTAGGCGGGTTTTAGGATAGGAAGAGTCCGCCTAAGCGAACTTTACATGTCATCGAAATAGTTTAATTTATGTTATTGTTTAACAGTAAGCAGCGCCGGATTTAACTTTTTGTTGCCCTAGTTTATTCAATTTATATTAGTTTTTTATTTGAAGTACAATATGTAGTTACAATTTTAAAGTAGATTTTAGTGATGATACTATTTATCTACTTGACTTTTTAATAGCGAAATCCCTGATAATATCAACAAAATTGGTTTTACTTAGTAAAACACTTTTATTGCAAAGTAGTGATAATGTACTTTTTCTATTATTTATCCATAATAAAATCTATAATTTTTTATCAAATGTTTAATAACCGATGCTCTCTTATCAGAGGTTTACATAATAACGCAAGTTCAAGGTCAACAATTAACGAGTACATTTAAATCATCTTTCTGTTCAACATCGTTTTGACCAACAATCGTGAAGTGCAAACATTTGAAACATAGAAAAATACTTCTGTTTTATTTATTTGCCCATTGATTGTATCTTTATCATTTCAGTATAATAAAAATAAATTGCAATAAGTGCACCTCAAGGAAGATGATGCAAATTGAAACGAAGAACCCGAGAGCGTGATAGCGGACGTTATTTCAGTTATTCGTGCGGCTATTTATAACAACATTGAACATAGCTCAATCTAAACTTCTATTTGCATCATATTATACGTGGAGAGAGCCACGTTGCAGCTATATTATAGCTGTAGCAGGAATGGGTTGGCTCGACCAGAGAAGTACCACGCTCTCATTATCATGTGTCACATTAGTGTGATGAGTATTGAGAACCGAAGACCCTTTTTACTGGAAACGAGGCATTCAATCACAGCCCTCAGGGATGACAACGCATCTGCATTTTGATTGTTAATCCAGGGTAGATGTAGATATCTATAAGCCACAGCAGCCACTTATTATCAGCTGGACTTTGTGCTCGTTTGTCACCCTTATTCTATAAAAGAAATACGTATTACAACGGACTGATCAATGCCCATCTCTGAACTCGTCTAGAGTATGTACTTTGGCGAAGTTTGTTACAAATCCAACTCGCTATCTGGGTCAACAATATACTTAGATTGCAACGGCCAATACGATCGGCAAAACATCTAATTCCGTCGGTCAATGTTTTATCCCCGCCGACTGTATCGATGTCAGCTCCGTAAACTAGAGATTTGTGCAGATTTACAGTTGTATTTTCTGTCATAGCAACTCTGCGTCAGTGTTTTCGATTTTGCCGCCGCTACAATGTAGACGTTTAAACTTGGCGTTTCGCTGATGGAAATAACGTTATTGTTATATCGAAATTTCCACACGTGCTTTACTTTATGTGTGTTCTGCAAGTGGGGTTCGATTTTGTAATCATTATCACTTCACATCATTAGGAGCAGTTTGAAATCGATTTCTTGTTGTACACGGGTGTACAGTTTAACCGTAGGTATCTGCTGGCTGTATATTTTACTAACGCTTTTAAAAAAAAGCAAACTATAAAATTTGTTCACGTTTTCACCTAAATAACGACGGGCGCAAACACATTAACATGTCCATCCTGGGACTAAGCAACTCAAGGATGAGCCGACTTTGTTGCTTAACAGAAGAAACACATCTGCACATCCTAACTAATTGTGGACCCTTAACGCACAAACGTATTACTCATCTGGGAAACTATGTATTTAGCCCAGAAGTGAAATTGCTCACAGCTAAGCAACTCCTTTAATTTTTTTTATAGGATAGGTTGACAAACGAGCACACAGTTCACCTGATGGTAAGTGGTTGCTGTGGCCCATAGATATCTGAATCTATCCTCCTTTGCGAATCAAAATGCAGATGCGTTGTGAGGCCTAAGATGGAATGCCTCTTTTCCAGTAAAGAGGGTCTCCGGTTCTCTACACTCACCATACGAAACGCACCAATGTTAAGCTGCTATTATACGCCGATATTCTGTGAGAGCGTGGTCCTTCCCCAGTCGAGCCGACCCATTCGTGCTACAACTATACTACTAATATAGCTGCAGCATAGCTCTACCACGTGTAAAAATTGATTGAAGTCATAGGACTTAGCAGTGAACCATAGCCATAGTATCGATCACAATAGATCTTATAGGTCGTAGTGATACTGGTCTTGATAGATCTGCATAGCTGATTGCACCAGTTAAAAAACTCATTAACATAACATAATAATAATAATGTCCTTCAGACTTCAGTCAGTTTCAATGGAGCCTGGCCATCTGCGCAAGACAGGATTATAATGCCCGCGTGTGTGTGTAATCACGGGTGCACTCTCTATTTCCTCACTCTCATATTCTAATGGGACGGAAGTCTGACACGAGTGGAGAGACAATTGGCGCAGATCTAACTTCCTGATTGTTACTGAAAATTTCTTGAGAGAAAAACCCAATAAATTATTTTCGAATTTAATTTCACCCGATCCGGGATTCGAACCAAAGGGCTCATAATAATTAGTCGCGCGTTACGGTCACTCAACCAATTTTATTTATTTATTTATTTATAAGGGTCACCGACAGATGATACACAAACACTAAAAACAAGATCCAAGCATTGTGAGAAACATGCAATGTGCTCACCCAGATATAGTCTACCACAGCTAACACAGAGTAATGTTGCGAAAATTTAAATAACGCAAAATTTTGTTGTACAATAGCAAAATTGCGTATTCATGATATATTAAAAAGGGTTTACATTTATCATTAAGATTCTAAATAAAGTAACATTTTTCTTCTGAAATTATTTAAATTGTCATTGAAAATGTCTAAATCAGATGGCCTAGATATATAGTTATACAGTCTAAACATTCTGCATAATGCTGTATTAAGACCGAGGTTAGTCCTGGAACACAACGATTGCAACAGAAGGAGTTGTACTCCTTCTGGTGCAGTCGGGTAAATAAAGATCTTGATTTTATCTGATAAAGGAATTATCCCAAAAGAAAATCTTCCTACAGACAATGGAAAATGCGTGAGTGTCGTGGAGCACTCGGTTGGAACGAAGTTCCTTGCGTATATATATATATATATATATATATATATATATATATATATATATATAAGCAGGCAATAGGCAGAACATATAACGTAAGCTGTTGCGATATGTCGATTCATTGGCACTGCGAAGAGATGTTGCATCTCTTTGCATTTTCTTTCGCATCTACCATGGGGAGTGCTCTGAGGAATTGTTCGGATTAATCCCAGCCGCCAAATTTCACGAACGCACATCGCGGCAGAACTCCCGATACCATCCACACCATCTGGATGATTGGCGGTCCACCACTGTGCGATTTAGAAGATGTTTTCTTCCTCGCACAACTTCCTTGTGGAATAGTTTACCACCAGGGATTTTTCCGGACCGATACGACTTAGGGACCTTCAAGAAAAGAGCCTACTCCTTTTTAAAAGGCCGGCAACGCATCTGCAATTCCCCTGGTGTTGCGGTTGTTCATGGGCGGCGGTAGTCACTTACCATCAGGTGAGCCGCATGCTCGTTTGCCCCCTCTCCTATAAAAAAAAAAAATAATGTCGGTTACTCTGGTTCTGCTGCGTATATCCTTATTACGAAGTGTATCGTACAGATAAAAGCCGATCATTGCTGAGCGACCTTGAGCTTTCCTATATGTCATCACTGGCATCACGCACTAGTTGTGCAATCGGGTTTTCAAGTTTTTAGGTATACGTGAGGATAACATGTATCATAATATCCTGACCGCTGCTAAGCCAAGTGGGGTCCGTCGACTGACTTTTAATTTTAACATCTATCCGTTAGGAGACACTATGGGGATCATCGAGCATAGTGCTGAGATCCTCCAGGGATTCTGCTATATGAAATACATCGTTGGTAAATAGAAGGTGAGTGATGTACTCGCCATTGATGTAAATACCGTATCCTTTCCAGTACAGTAGCTTGAAAAAGTCTTCTAATGTAGCAGTAAAGAGTTTCGGGAATATAACGTCACCCTATCTTACACCTTTCTGCAGGTTTTGTACTCTTCAAGCCATCGTAGTCCTACTGTACAAAAACTTCAGCACCTCGATATACCGACAGTCAACTTGGCATCGCTGAAGAGTCTGTAACACTGCCCAAATTTCAAAGCAATCAAAGACTTTCTCATAATCCACATACACAAGACAAAGAAGCTGCAGTCATCAGTAGATGAGACAGTATACAGAAGACTGAAGTGACAGATCTCTAAATGCATGCGGCGTGACTTACGCAACATTAAGATAGCTCGTATTCAAGAAGCGATGGAGCGGTATCAAGGCTCCAAAGACTTTTCCAGAGAATCTGTTTGCCAGAATGAGCCAACTGTCGTAGTTAAAGACTTACTAGCTAGATACAAGACCAAGGAGTACAATCTGTCAATTTGTGTTGCGCATGTGGAATGTAAGGTTGAATCCTTTTTTTTTCTTCAAATGTAAACCTTATTTGCACATATCATTTTATGTGATGCCACGCTGCAGGTGGTCAACTCGACCAGGGATTATGCTCTCACAGAATACCAGCTTGAAATACC